GTTCCCTCGATAGAGATAGATGGGCGGTGGTCTGTTGCGAGAGGACTGGGCTGGAACAGCACTTCTGTTTTTCCCAGGCTAATGGTGAGGCCAAACAGGCGGGATGCTTCAGCAAACTTGTCGACAGTGAGCTGGAGGGTGGATTCTGTATGAGCCATGAGGGCACAGTCGTCGGCAAAGAGGGCCTCTAGGATCAGTTTCTCAATTGTCTTGGTTTTAGCATTGAGGCGTCGAAGGTCAAAGAGAGATCCGTCCAGTATGTACCTTATGTATACTCCGTCCTCGATGTCTTTGACAGCGTGGCTGAGAACGCAGGCGATGAAGAGGTTAAACAGTACTGGGGCAAGGACACATCCCTGTTTCACACCGTTGGTAATCTCAAAGGGTTCAGTCGCCTCACCTCCAGAAAGCACTAGACCCGTCATGCTGTCATGAGATAGACGGATCAGGGTCACAAACTTCCTGGGGCAACCAAGTTTTTGAAGAGCTGTCCACATTGCAGCTCTGTTGACAGTGTCAAACGCCTTGGTCAGGTCGACATATACTGCATACAGATCCATATTCTGTTCCCTGCACTTCTCCTGTACTTGCCGGACCGCAAAGATCATGTCCTGAGTTGTGCTGCGGCCTGGACGGAATCCACACTGGGCTTCTGGTAGGTTGTGCTCAGAGATGTTGAAGATCAGGCGATTCAGGATGATGCGCGCCAGGATCTTACCGGCAATAGACAGGAGTGATATGCCCCGGTAGTTGCCACAGTCAGATTTGTTGCCCTTGTTTTTGTACAATAGCCAGTAATTGCAAGTTAACGGTCGATCGTTGAAATTACCTGCTGAGTGTGGTCATTTTCGACCATACGAAACAGAGCTCTCGTAATAAAACGATGAACTACCTCTGAAGTCTCGAACCCGTTCGTAATAATTATATATATATATACATAAACGAATAAACAAGAAATAAAGTTGTTTCACTTATCCTTGGAGTGCTCGATGCAGAAATGTCCAGAGCAAAATACAAATGTGAAAGAAGGTAATTATTACTAGTTACTCGAGATTCACGCTCTAGGCGATCATCAGACTGAGAGTTGTCTACGAGAAGTAAACGGTTACCTGCACAAATTATCATCAAAATTCCCAGAAGGGGAAATCGGCTTGTACAGAGACGACGGTTTAGCAATCTTCAAGAACATGAACGCCAGAACCGGCTACATGGCAAGAAAGGGTTTTACTAAGCTAATCGGAGACCTTGGATTGAAGATTACGGTGCTAAGCAATCTCAAGGTGGTCGATTACCTGGATGTCACGCTAAATCTGACAAATGGAAAGTATTACCCTTTCAGGAAACCCGACAACGATCCGCTGTACATCAACGCCAAATCCAATCATCCCCCTTCTACAATTAGGCAAATCCCAGCACCAGAATATCGGGCTTATCCTGCGACCAAGACGAGTTCAATAAATCCTCGCAGTTATACAACAATGCCCTGAAATCTAGTGGGTACCACGAACGGATCCATTATGTCAAGGCCCAAGCAAGAAAAAAATCCCGAAAAAGAGCAAAGAAAATAATTTGGTTTAACCCACCGTACACTGGTCAGAATGTCTGATCAAACATCGCTAAATCATTCTTCCGCCTGATTGATAAGCATTTCCCAAAGTCACACAAGCTCCATAAAATATTCAAGAAAGACAACCTGAAGGTCAGCTACAGCTGCACTACAAACATGGCTAATATAATCAAAAGCCACAATCAGAAAATCCTAAATGAAAACGACGAGGTATCCAGCGAAAAGAAATGCAACTGCAGAAACAAAAACGTTTGCCCTCTTGACGGCGCGTGCCTCACCGGAAACATCATCTACGAAGCAACTGTCACAACAACTTCTGGTAACGCAGGGAACTACATTAGAATGACAGAACACGCATTCAAAACAAGATACAACAACCACAAACTCTCTTTCAAAAACCGAAAATACTCACATGACACTGTACTTTCAAAACACATTTGGGACTTAAAGGAGCGAGGCAACGACTACAAGATCAACTGGCGCATCATCAAAAGGGCAAGCGCATACAAAGGCAA